TTAAAATTAATTCAAGAAATATTTTATTGTGTATTGACTAAATGACAGATATTAATTTAGGTGCATGGGATAGATGCATCAGTGAACCAAAGGACAATATAGGTGAAAACCCCTAATGTCTTAGAGCAAAAGGGACAAAACTAAGCAAGTGGCATTGTGATCACAAAAATAAAGTTTCTTGTAGATTCAAAGACAGTAAATGCTAAAGAAAACAAGGAATCTGGTAAGAGGGTAACGGTTAGACATACTGCAGTCTTTATTTGCTTGACCATGGCAGGATTCACTGAGATGAGATCAGTGACTTGCCAGTTAAGACAGCACAGTCGGAAAAGCTCTGAGCAGTATGCTGGAGTGTTCAAAGAACAGAAAGGAAGGCAATGTGACTATAGCTCTGTTAGCAAGGAGACTGATGTGATGAGGGAGGTTAAAAAAAATAACAGGGAGACATATAACAAAGGGCTTTAGAGGCCACCATAAGAAATCTGTTTGTATTTTTTTTTCTCAATAAGGTACAAATCATTGTAAGACTGTTAAAAATTTGACAATCATGATCTGACATTTTAAAGAGGATCCATGACTGATCATTAAATACATTAAAATTCAGAAGTCAATATGCTGTATAATCTTTGTCATATATATCTCAATTACTGTCCTCTGCCCAGAATTAAATATTATTATTCCCATTTTTGGAAAGAAAATATCAAGCCTTAGAATATGAAGAGATTTTTTATGTGGTAGAATAGGCAAAAACAATTATTTTCCAACTCATAGCTTAAAACTGGTTGTTCTTTGGAACTTTAAGTTCCAAAGGAAATAAAATAATAATTGAAATTAATTACTTGATTATCCATCAATAGAGATGTTCAGTTTAATATATTAAAACTGATCCAAACCTATTTCCCCCTTATAATTAATTTCTGGGAAATAAGGATACAAGTGATTTCCCTGGACTTTCTATTTGAAATGACATATGAACATTCAGGCTAAGGATTTTGGAGGCAGAAGTAATTATAATTTATAACAGTATATTTACAAAGCTTATCAAAGTCTTTCAATTATTTATGAACTCTACTATATATATATGTGTGTGTGTATGTATATGTGTGTGTGTATATATGTATACACACATACACACACACACACACACACACACACACACATATATATATATATCAGCCATTGTGCTAAATTCTTTGCATATATCATTGCATTCTATATTCATTAAAAACTCTTAAGAGGGCCCTCCCTGGTGGCGCAGCAAGTTAAAGCACAGCACTGAGAAGCTAAAGCCACTTCAGCATGAGTTCATTCCCACCCCAGAGGTGACCCACATGGCCTGGCAGACCTCTCCTGACCTGCCTGCTGCTCCCTTCAGCAGTGTACTTTGTTAGTCAGCCTCTTCTGCTCCCCATTTTGTCTGGTGAACCCTCTTACTGCCTTTGCACCTCTGGTCTGTACCCCAGTTCTGTATACATAAATAAATCTTAAAAAAAAAAAACAAAAAACAACTCTTGGCCCTCCCTGGTGGCACAGCGGGTTAAAGCACTACACTAAGAAGCTAAAGCCACTTCCGCATGAGTTCGATTCCCCCCTGCCCCGGAGGTAACCACATGGCACCGCAGACCTCTCTTGACCAGCCCGCTGTTCCCCTCAGCAGTGTGCTTCCACGATCTGCCTGTTCTGCTCCCCACTCTGACTCTGGTGAAGCCTCTTGCCTCCCCTGAGCCTCGGGCCTGTACCCCAGTTCTGTATGCACAAATAAATAAATCTTTAAAAAAAAAAAAAACCTCTTAAGAATTTTATTAGCAATTTCATTTTCATTTTCTAGATAGCAAATGTGCATAATCCTTGAAGGCCACAGGACTGTTCAGTTCTAGAACTGGGAGTTTACTTAAACCTCCACAGTCTAAAGGTAAGTTCTTATCACTAAGTTATATACATGTCCCATAGCATAATGTTCAACATATCACCTCAACATGTCTAGCTAAACGATTAGCGACATATGAGTAGCCCCACTTTACAGATGATTAACTGGTCATGGAAAAGTTAATCAAGCAATCAACATTTATTTTATAGCCACAATATGCAAATCAATATTTAGTTGCTGAGAGGACAGATGATTTATGATATAATATCTTGCCTCAATGAGCTTACAATCTTATTAAGGCAACAAGAGACACATTAAAAGATAATAAATAACCCAAAATAGCACATAATAAGTACCAAATGAGATACATTGCCAACAAATGCTAAATAAATTCAACAGAGTAAAAATTTAATGTGGTAGCTTCAATTCAATTAAGAAAGATGTTTACTAAAGATAAGCAGTGCTGAGGTGGTCTTTATAGGAAAAGTAGGATTTTGTGAACAGAGAAGACTAAGTACTTCCAGTGAAAAGGGACATATAACTAAAGGCCAAGGGAACAAATGTAAGTAGATTGTCCAAAAAAAAAAGAACAGATATGTTTGAAGTGCAGGATGGAATAGCAGCAGAATAAAGATGAATCCAAAATAGTAGATCATCATCAACCTTGATGATAAACAGGAATCTAGAAAATAAGAGAAGTCACTTATCACTGTTGATGATGAGTGTTGAAGATGTTATTTTTAGCCTCATCTTTTTGGATGGTAGCCAAGAACTGCTTAATGTGCACTTTTAGTTTATGTAATACACTCAACAACCATAATAGGTAGAAAGGTAGCTATGTTGTGGTCATTTTAAAAGCAAGGAAACAAAGATTATATGTCCATGCTTTGATTTTTTGTATGTTGTATGGGACAGAAATTCTGTCTGCCTACAAGTGCAGTATCTGCATTCTATGGAAGACACCCAGGAACCATCAAAAGAATCTGGTCAAGAGAAGAGAATGACATCTGAAAAGAATTGTAAAAGTGAAAGACTAATCTGACTATGAGATATTAGCACACATGTCTAGTATCAGAGAAAGAATGGTTAAGGAATATAATAAGCAAGGAAAGCCACTTTTGTCAACTTCTTTATCCCAAATAATATAGCATGACATGCTTAGTGAGATAAGCCAGAAAGAGAAAGAAAAATACCGGATGGTTTCACTCATAGCAGGAGTATAATGGACCAGGCGAGAAAATAACAAAAATAATGAACAACCATATACCAGAGACATTTTGTGGGGGTGGAGTGGGGAATGGGATCAAAATGGGGGGGGAAGGGAGGGAAATGCATGGGACTCTGGTGGTGGCACACAGGTGATTTGGTGATGGGAAACCCGCGGGGATTACAATTGAGATGGAAAAAAAAATGTGCAAAATGATGTAAAAATAAACTTTTGTAATAAAAAAAATAATATAGCATGACAGAAATCCTTATTGAAGGTTTATTGTGGGAATAGGATGTAAGAGGTTCTACAAAAGAAATACAGAGTTAAATGGCAATATCCACACACTGCAACAAATAGTCTCTACTGTCCACATACCCACAGTGTACATATTTCTCTGAAAAACCCCAAGATCTTCTCCAATTTTAAGACTTTGGGACAGCATGTTATTTATTTAAAAATAACACAATCTATGGTTTAGGAAAAATATTTGCTTTAGTGTAACCCATCTCTTAAACCACCAACATGAACTATGAGAGTTTTTTGTATGCATATTTCTTTTACATGAGTTGGCAAGAACTCATGGTCAGTAAATCCTCATGTTTATGCTCATATGAACTATTAATTACCTTAGAAAATATTCTTTTCCTTTTAATTTTCCTTTTAGAAAAAAGGAAAATCTCTAAGATTATATCTCTAAGAGACATAATTTGTCATATTTCTGAATATGATTCCTCCCTGATATTTCTTTCTTAAAATGCAAGAGTGCTTAGAAATCAAGTTCAAAACTAATAACAATTAAATATTCTATTGGTTAAGAGTGAGTCTATTCTGTGTTTTTTTGACTTCTAGGCAATTACAATCATAATTTCCAGCTATTTATAGAATGAAAAAAATCATCTATATTTTTGCAAAATAAATTATCCATATAAATATCCAAGTATTTATTCAATTCACATCTTGTCATGCAATTTGATATTACAGAATTATCAACCACATAATATGCAAGCTAACTATATAAATCTTTTATTAGATCAAGTGTTCAAATAATCTATCTTAATTTTAAATTGTTAAACTGAACATCTTGCTGAGTATAACAGACATGTGACAAATGTGTGCATATATAGAGACATGTAGATAGAGATATGTATCTCATGCTAGACTTGAATAACAATATTTTGATTCAGAATTCCTTTAGGAATTATATACCTACCCTACTTTCACTGAATCGCCTTAATATCAACTAGATATGCTAAAGGATAATTAAATATAACATATTAGCCAAGCCTAATTCCCTTTACCTTTAAGGGTAAAAGTAGATTTCTTTTTCTGAGTGGAAAATATTCAAATTTTAAATAAAACTATGTCACAGCCCAATAAAATTAGGCCTACATCTAATGTATTTCTAAGCTTCAAGAATATCAAACCTTCACTGAGTCTTAGAAATATCGCCCACATGTACACAGAAATATCATAGAATCCCAAAAGTGTACTTAATTCTATCCTTATTTATCACATCCATACTAGCATGAAAATAGACATCTGTAAAACATTATGAAGTAAACCAAAGACACAACACAAGCAGATCAATGTAATAGCACTAGGCTTTAATATACTTCAAATTGGAAAAACTTAAGACATTATAAAACTGAACTTATTTAAAAGCTATTCATGTAGAAAGTGTATTCTATATGACTTTAGGCATTCTAATCAAGATATGCTAAAATATTATGTGTGCATAATAGGAAGCACAGATGTTTACTCCATATACCTTGGTGTTTACTCCATATACCTTCTACTATCTGTGTTTTTCAAAACCATGGCAATTCATTCATATATAAAATGTATTGAAACATGAATATTACTACCCTTAGGTTTTAAAGGCATTACTTTGTGAGAGTTTTTAAAAAGTAAAACTATTTTTACCTCCCAGTCCTGGTCTAAGCCGATTATCATAACCATCCAGTAGTCTGTCTAGAATTCTTGTAAAGATGGTGATGTTATTTTTAGCCTCATCTTCTTGGATGTTAGCCAGCACCAACCTAAACAGATAATTTTACAAGTTGATATAGATACACACACACACACACACACACTCGTGTGTGTTTTTTACAAGTGCTAACAAGCTCTTCCTTGCTTTGAATTTTAAAGCTTCTTAACTATTAGTGCCACCTATTTTGCTCCCTTTTTCCATATCTATATATGCCAGGATAGCTAAGAGAAAAACAAACATGAAAATTGATTATAAATACTGTGTCATCAGGAAATTTGATATCAAAATTATTTCAGATTTCCACCACTTAGCTAGCATTCTGTGCAGATAACACATTGTTTCTAAAATCCACTCCCCAGAATATATTGTGATTGCATATTATCACATGCAGAAACTGTTAGTAACATTATTCTACATTTAGAAAGGTACAATAACCAAACATTCTTCATTGATTTAAATATTAATTGGAAAATAAATTGCCTCCTTGGAGGCACAATATTTCTCTATCTTCCTCATAAATTTCTTTTTCTCTTTATGTCTTTTGCCTTTTTAGACCAAGATTATTTCCTTACTTTGGGTATACCTCCACCCAATGGCCGAGTGCAATATAGACATCAGGGAAACTCCACTGGCTGAGTTCCAGACTCCACTGTAGGCGGTGGAGGTAGAGGTGGGCCCTGAGGATCAGCACACACACCGCTACATAGAGGTACATGGAAGTACCTCCCTGCCTTGCCTCTAAGGAATTAGATAGGGGTCACCTGAATATTAAAATGCAAATTGTGTGTGTGTGTGTGTGTATGTGTGGAGAGAGACAGAGACAGAGAGAGGGGGGAGCAAGGGAGAGACAGAGACAGAAAAATTTGTGGGAAGAACAGTCTTAAAATATCACCAAAAGGGGGTTAGAAACTATCATTTTCTTCATTATTTATCTCCATCAGAAAACCAGAGACCTGATTTTGTGACATCCAGCAATTTGGTGCAGAAGCAAGTGTTTGTACAAAACAGAATGTCCTTTTTCACTGCCATTTTTTCCCCCAGAATGATTCAGAGATTTAAATTACTGGCTCCAAAAAAGAATCATTTATATAATAGAATAAATACTGGCATGAACATTATTGGTTAAACATAAAACAGAAATCTAGTAGAAGGAAACACTGTTAAGTACTAAGGATTTTCAATGGCTATTAATTGATCATGGTTTACTCACCCTTTAAAAATCAAAGATTATATATAATTACATTACTATTGAGGTATAGTGTATAAAATATCTTAGGTAGAGTCCATCTGCATTATGTGATTACACAGATAGCTACAATAATCATGATATATGAAAAAGCTGTTGGCCAATTTCTTTTGTTGTTAGCCAATATTGTTTTGAAAGCAGAGAGAATATTAAATGCTGATGTAAAAGTTGATATTTTAAAATTATGTAAGCAAATTAGTTCATACCCTTCCACATCAAAAGTTCCTAAATTGCTCCTATATTGCCTTAAGCTAATATTTAAGCAATCACTAAGATAGTCATAGAGTTTCAGAGGTTTTTACCCCAAAGTGGTTTTTAATCATGTATCACATTTTCTTTCTAAAGTCAATGTTAAGGTTATATATAGAGATATATTCCAATTAAAAATAAGCTTTATAAAGAAGTTTCTTCTCAAGCCTAGAAAATATTTTCTTACTTAGACAATCACTTAGACAGGAAAATGAAAATAAAAAGAGGAATGAAGGCATAATAATGGCCCTTCTTTTAAGAAGAAATATAAACCTCCTAATGACTTCTATATTTTAGTTTCACTTGTATCCTGAAATCTATATCCTCAAGTTAATAAATAAAAAATGTCTACTGATGATGAAATCAGAAAAGGCTACAACTAAGAGGAAGTTATTGAAAGCTATAAAAATAATGTTATATTGTATTATTTAAGCTAAATCAAATTAGTTGCACATTTGAGTACTCTATAACTAGCCATTTAGGAACAAATGTTCTCTAAATCAATAATATGAAAAGTTGATTAATAAATCAAGCTTTTGTTTTATTGTTTGTGATTGTGAAGTTGTTGTACTACCTCCACCTAGAGGTTTAAGATTCACACATCTTTTGGGTTTTCTGTGTTCACTGCAAGGGCCAAAACCATTAGAAGAAAAAGGGAGGATGGAAGAAAAAAAGAAGTTAACACAAACCATTTGAGTTTGTGCTTTTCTGTGTGTTTTAAAGGAAAACTGTTGATTCCTTTATTAAATTTTGGTTTTATCTTAAATGTATACAATTTAGCAATTCTTTTCAAGATCATGCCATTCAAAGAGTCTTCTCTTTAGCATTCTTAAAAAAAAATGGTTCTGTTCAGTATTGTATTTTACCACTAAAAACAAGAAGCAGTAAACTTTTTATGGTTTCTGCCAGGGCATAGTTCAGTTTCCTAGTGTTACCATTTTCATGAGAAATAATTCTTCAAACCACTCCAGCCTCTCAAAGCTCTCTCCCCTTTATTGATGGCATTCGAGAAACACATTTTACCCTGATATTTAAAAAGTCAAAGACAATGGTGGACTCACCTTGCTGGGTCCCACATCAAGAATAAAAGAAGCAATAACTGTATATTGTAGACGCTCAATTTCATCTTCATCACCTCTGTTTGTGAAGCCATGAAACAAAAACATAATTACACTTAAAATTTGCATTCAACCCCACCATCCAAAAACATCCTCAGAATGCAATTTCAATTGAGAATTTAAGTTAAAGCTATGGAGATTATTTTAGAGGAGTGTAGGGCATGATGATTGGGGGAGAATTTTTTGTCCTTTTTTTTTTTTCCCCCTGGACCAAGTAGTCTTCTGACTTTACTCTGCCAGGAACTTCCCCCAATTCCATCGTCAGCAATTACCGTTTTGTGCTCACACACATGTAATAATAGCAAACGGGACCCCGAACTGACATACTAGCTGGAGAAGAGAATTGGCTGGAGCTGAGAGTGAAAAGGGGGAGGAGAGAGGGTTACTTTATGCCACAGTCCCTTCAACCAAGACCACCTCCGCCACCCCAGCAGGAAGAGCAAGGGATACCCAGCCCACTTTTTCAGTGATTATTCTTTCCATCATAGTGAATTTCAGTCCTCACGTTTACACTTCTTCACTCCCTCTAAAATAAAACGAAATAAAACCATCCCTCTCTCCCTTCCCATCCTCACTTGCCCAAGACCACGACTTGGAGGTAACCAGGTTCGGATCAACTGCTGCGAAACGATGTGTTTGACAGCTGTTCTGGAGCCACTACCACGATCAGAGCAGGAGCGTGAGGCTCCCGGATCCAGCACAAACAGGCAGGCAGCGGAGCTCAGTGTGCAAAGTTGAAGACTATAAAAGAGCTAGGCTAACGTGCTGCCGGGCGGGCGTCTCGGGGTAGTTGCAAATATGCTTCTGGTGACGAGTATCGAAATTATTTTTTAAATGTACTTGGGAGGAGGGGAAGACCCAAGCCTCCTGGGTTTCCAGGGAGCATCGGCAAGTGGGGTGGGAGGATATGAGGCATGCATGAAAGGCAAAGGGTCCTGCTGGACCAACATGTGAGACCTTACCTGATCAGCAAGCAGAATCGAGTGGTTTCCTCCCTCTGCCCAGATCTTGAGATAAGAAACTTGAGACAGAGAGACAGAGACAGAGAGAGAAAAGAGACAGAAACAGATCGACTGCAGTAGCCGAGCGAGGAGAAAAGGGCTAGTGGAAGCCAGAAGGGAGCGAGAGGAGCAGCAGCAGCAACCGCGAGTAGAAGGAGGCGAAGGCGTTCGTAGTGGTGGTGATGGGCGGAGGAGGAGGAAGAGGAGGAGGGGGAAGCTTTGGCATCAGCGGGCGGGGGTGGGGGGAATGCTAGCTGAGGCGCTGTGCGCGCAGGCTGTGGCGGGCACGAGCCCCAAGGCTGGAGGAGAAGGAGGAGGAGCCAGGCCGGAGAGGAGGGCTAATGAGGTTCCCCGAAACGCAGGGACCCCAACCTCCGCCCCAATCCCGGGTAACCTCTCACAGCCGTCAGGCACCTGCAGCGGCACTGCCCGGGCTGGCGGAGAGCGCCGCTACCGCCCAGAGCGCCACTTCCCGCGCCCACGCCGCGCAGGAGGAGCGGAGCCCACGCGCAGCCCCTGACTGCTCCCCACTGGAGTCCGCTGGGGCTTCCTTGAAGCCCTGAGGTTCCTGGGCACGGCCGGTGGGTGTCTATGCGCAGTCAGAAATGCACTACGTCTGGGCGGTCCTTAGATCCTCGGGGCCTCGCCCTGCTGCCCGCCCCCCAACATTTCAGGCTCTGGAGCAACGTGGCTGCCGAGGAGAGGTAAAGATCTAATGCTCCAACTGGAGGGCGAGGGGACAAATCACGCCTTTACTTAGTCATCAGCTCATCCACACAGGTCCAAGTGCAAAGCACGATGCGTGGAATCAGACCCCGGGAAGTTTCTTTGATTTTCTGAGCCCTCTTGATAAACTACCCGTTCCTTTACATCCTCCTAAGCAGGACCTCAAAGCTTTCTCGGGGATAAGACTTCCCCGGAGCCTTCCAGTGAAGTCCATTTGCAGATATACACCTAGGGAGGTCTCTTGCTCTCTGTGGGCAATTCTTTCCTCAATCTCTATTCACAGGTGTCCTTCCTACCTGGAGATCAAACTCAATCAACAGCTCCCCCAAAGTTTACATTTCCCTCCAGCAAAATGGGGTCCACTGTGCGTGTACTACCTTTGCAATTCTTTCCAGGGATGAGTATGACAGGCTTAAAGATTTTCCCTTTTAGGGTTATCTGCTGGCAGATGGACCTGTTGTAATTCCAGTCCCATTGTACAACTTCATGCATTTGATCTGGCTCATTTCTGTTTTTTTCTGAAGCGATAAAATCTAACCATGTAACCTGGGCAAAAAATAGACATTTCCCCTTTTTGTACAGCACATAAAACAGCATGTTGTACACATGTACTAAGATAAACAGCCGTGTTTATCTCCTCAAGAAGTTGTTATAAATGTTAGACACTTAAAAGGAAAAAAAGAGATACCTATGTGATAAGTTTCTGTCATTTTACATTCAAAATTAGTGTGTGCAAACACATCAATTTAGTTAGTTATGAATTAAAAATTAGATGTTTTTTCCTAGATGGTGCAGTTTTCATAGCCACGGGCACTGTTAATCTACATTAAATCTTAGCTTTGCTTTAAAGATTATGTGAGGAGTCTAAAACCTTTACTTTGTAAATATATCAAGCTGTTCTTTTTAACCTATAAATCACCACTTTCTAAATGAGCATTTAATATGCTACAACCTAGACAAACATTCTCCTATCTAGCTGGTTCTGTAAGGAAAGAGCCACCCAGCTCTCTCCTCCATCATTAATATTCCCTTCCTGACTCGCCCATTGCAGAGTCTAATTGAAATGCACAAAGATAAAAGGCCATTTAAAACCTTGAGACTAGGGGATCTAAGCGTTCTACTGGTGTGAGTATTCTACTTTCTACTGTATTGTCCTCTTTTCCATTTCTGTGAGTTAATCAACATTAAAGTCTCTATCCTGCCATTTTTATTACTGTCAAGATGTTTATATTTTGACATTGTAAGCTAGACATCACATGGTTTCTTCCCATCTTTAGTTGCTATGTTCCAACAAAATTTCTTTCATACAAGTCACAATTTCTATAAATATCTTCACAGATTATCCTCATACTTAACACTATAGTCATTTTGCTCGGTTCTAATGCTAAACTATGAAGTTCAATTTTAGTTGATCTATTTCAAAATTTGTATCTAATGGAATGATTTGTTCCAAAAATTAGCCTTTTCCATTAGCACCTTGTTAAGTTTGTAATCTCACTGCCATATGACTGACTTATATGGAACTTAACATTAAATTTCAAGCTGTTATGGATGATTACCACCTTTCAATTTAAAAACAAAAATGCATTTAAAACAGTGCATAGATTTGTATAAACTTACTTGAGAGAGATTCACATTAACGAGTGTATTTTTAAAAGTCAATATAGTAGCTATGATTCTTAGCTATTCTCACTGCCCCCCCCCCAAAAAAAATGCCCTGTAATTTTATTAAAGTTGGATAGCTGGGATTTTAAATTCAAAGCACTAAGGAAATGGAAATCAGAAAAGCTGATTGCAGGCCCTGGACCTTCACTTTTATTGCTCTATGTATACTGATGTTTTAATATATAACTACATTTACTATATATTTTACATATTACTGTTTCTAGGATTGTCCAACCTCCCTCAAACAACTGACAATTCCTGTCTGGTGTTCTTCTTCCCTCTCTATGATGAATGAACTGCCTGTGACTTGAGAGCCAGTCCATGTGGGTCGTGACTAAATTTTTTCTACCTTCTCCTTTGGAACTTGTCTTAAGGCAACCCATCCTAAAGAAGTACTGACAACAGGTTGTCAATAAATCCATTCTTGCTCAGGCAAGGGCACTACCAAACCTCCTGTTTGAGTTTATTTGAAATACTCATCTACAAATGGGATCAGAGGGATCACTTCTAATATCTTCCCCTACCCTAAGTCCCTAAAGAAATTTGTATATGAGAATCAAGAAAAAAAAAAAAGATAAAACATTGGGCGAGCTTGGTTTCGTTTGCTTTTTTTTCTTTCCTGATAGCTAACAATATTATCCATTATAATTATAAAATTAATTACATGCTTTTTTCCATGTTTTTGAATATATATTTTGCAGGACTTCCCTATTTAGGGTCCAGCTATTTGGAGACTTGGCACTACTGCTCCAGAGCATTTCAAAATTTTAAGTTCTGTGAGATAATGGGTATACATAGGTATTTATGTAAATATATATATACACATTCACATACACATACATGAGATACTTATCAATGATGATCAGACATAAAACAGGTATTAAAACTGTAAAGAGAATAGCATTTATATAACTTTCTACAAAATACATTTCGTCTCACTACAATCACATATTCCATATATTTACCACATAGTCATTCAAAAACAAACAACAACCTCATCAGAGCAAATAGCCCTTTGGTAATTTTCAAGTCAAAACAATAGAATTGGGCTCTCCATAGTAGTATAAGAGGTTAAAGGGCCGCACTATGAAGCTATTCCACACCACAGTATGAGTTCTATCCCTGGCCAGGCAACTGAACCAAATGGCTTGGCACACCCCTCCTGTCCTGCCCACTGCTCCCCTCAGCTGTATATTTCTGTCAAAATCTGTACCTTTTCTGTTCCCCACTCGTCTCTGGTGAATCCTCTCACCTCCCCACACCTCTGGCTGGCATCCCAGTTCTTGTAGACATAAATAATCTTTAAAAAAAATAAAAACAAAAGAAAAACAAAACTGTAGAATGATCAAACTCCAATTTCCCTAGGTTTAATTCAGGTAGATAATTCTATTATGTCCACTAGGCTCCTCGATTTTGAAAAAGCAGCAGTTGGAAAGTGGAAGTAGCTGGTCTTAACAAATAATTCCTGAACTACTCTGTCACATTAATGTATCTAGGTCACATTTCATTAGAGCTAAATATATCATGTATACTAGTTTGTATAAACTATGCACATTACCTTCTTCAGAGTAACTGTTTATAAATTTACAAATCCTTATCCAACTTGCAAATCAAATATATCATGAATTCATGATATTATGATGATTTCTGAGATTGCAGAAATTAACTGCATATCAGACATATAAAGAGTAACTTGTGAGGAAATCATTTCACCTTCCTTTTGTGAAATTATAGATAGAATTTATATTTTAGATTCTTAAGCTTCCTATAAGAAAGATTATGGTCGAGTAATGTAAACCAAACTCTATCTCTTTGAAAAATATGCAGTGCATTTCATTGAAGAAGATGCTGTATGGTTGGCAGTTTTCTTCCTTTGAGAAATGTTCCACTAATAATAATCACAGTAATGAATATAATAGATGTCTTCACTAAACAATTTAGAAACCATTTGAAATACTTTGCATGTATAAATTTAATTATTCTTTATAAGTACAAGATAATTATTCCCATTTCACAGTGAGAAGCTTGAAGCATAGAAAGTGCAAAGTCTCCCAGGGTGGAGGCAGGACTGGAGCCAGTAAATGAGACTAGAGTGTCCATTCTCACCTGTAATACCACTGTTTGCTTCTAAGTTATTCCAAGCAGAAAAGGTCCAATTTATGTGCACTCTCATCACTGCAGATTTGAACAAAATATTTAACATTTGAGTTGTTGGTGTTTTCTGGGTAGTATAAATTTGTTAATAACAGTTGTCCATTCATTCAACAAGTCTTGAGTATCTGCTATGAACAAAACACTCTGTTAAGTACCACTTGATATAATTATGATGAAGTCATGGTCAATACCCCTCATGAAGCTCACAGCAAATTGAAAAGGCATGAAATAACATACTCTTAATTGCACCCCAATTCTTGTATGCATAAATAAATAAAATAAATCTTTAAAAAATAATATGTTATAGGACGTCTTTTACTAACTTTAAAAGAATTTTACCACATAACAATAAGTAGGTTACTATGAGTAATATTATTAAGTACTTTCTGTGACACAATAAGACATCAAAAAAGTCTGTCCCAAATGAAAAATATGTTTGATATTAATACTTCTGAATAAAAAACTGATCATACAAGCTTACTAAAATAAGCCAATAAAATACCAGTAATAGCAACAAAATCTGAGGATAAAGAAGTCCAGGATCTGAATTTTTTAATGATTTATTTTGTTTGTACAAGAGCAGGGATGTAAGCTGGAGGTGTGGAAGGGTGGGAGGAGTCACCAAAGACAGAGTGGTGACAGGCAGACTGACTGAAACACATTGTTGAGGGAAGCAGCAGGCTAGGCAAAAGAGGTCTGCCACACCATGTGGATCAGCTCTGTGGCGGCCCAGGATGGAATTCATGCTGCAGTGGCTGCTGATAGCTTCATTGTGCTGAGACTTAACCCCTTATGCCACCAAGGAGGTCCCCGGACTGGATTTTGACCCAATTACATATATCTCAGGTATGATAAAATTGGATAAACAATCCTAAAGGATAATTTCAAAAATCATTATTTTTAGCTCAAAACTCTTCTATCTTGAAAGAAAGAGAGGGTATAGATACTGTAAAGAGATA